GGGTAGGGTGCAGAAAAATAGAGTAGAGCAGGGTAGAGTAGAGTAAAGTTGGATAAAGCCGAGTAAAGTGAAGGAGAGTAGGAGTAGAGTTGAATAGAAACATCGTGCAGTGGAGTATGCGATTGCACTATAGGGTAGAGTGGAACAAGGTAGAATGCAGGTTATAATTGAATTGATGAGAGCAGAGTAGAGTAGAGTAAGGTAGACTAGAGTAGAGTAAAGTAGAGTAGAGTAGGGTACAAGAGGGCCCTGGTAGGATTCTGAGAGAGCTGTGGCAAGCCCTAGTAGCATTCTGTCAGAGCCGGCATCTGGCGCGCACGCCAGCGACAGGTGCGCCGCCGCTGACGTTGTCGCCTTGCCGCCGTCGAGTCGTCGTCGTCGTCGTCGTTGTCGTCGTCGTCGTCGCCGGGGGGGGGTCCTGACCGCTCGAGTAATTTTTTCGGGGGGGGGGGGGGAGCGGGCCCGGACCCTGGAATCATTTTTCCAGGGCGAGGGGGGTTCGTGTGGTTAGGGCGGGGCCCATGGTTTCTGACCCCCACGTTGGGTCCTCGTTTTGAGAAGATAGCGCCCCGCGTCCCTCCCACCTCCTCCTCCCGCCCCCTCATCCCTCATCCCATCCTTGCCTCAGTCCTCCTCATGTCAATTTCAGCACACCCTTCACACGCTTCGTGGCCCCATAGGGAGCTCCAACCAAAGCCCCAATGGTGCCGTTCGCATGCGCCCCCCCCATTCATATCGGCACACACCTCAAACGTTTCGTGTTCCCATCGGGAGCTCCACCCAAAGTCCAAGTGGTGCTGTTCGCATGCATCCCCGCTGCCCATTTCGGCACACTCCTCACACGTTTCGCGGCCCCCATAGGGAGCTCCACTCAAGGCCCCAGCGGTGCCGTTCACATGCGTCCCCGCCACCAGTCCCGGTACACCCCTCACACGCTTCGTGTTCCATAGGGAGCTCCACGTAGGGCCCCTGTGGTGCCGTTCGCACGCGTCCCCGCCGCCCATTCCGGCACACCTTGCACACGCTTCGTGGTCACACAGGGAGCTCCACCTAAGGCCCAAGTGGTGCCGTTCGCACGCGTCCCAGCCACCCATGCGGGCACACTCCTCACACGATCCGTGGCCCCTAGAGAGCCCTACCTAAGGCCCCAGCGGTGCCGGTCGCATGCGTCCCCGCCACCCATCTTGGCACACCCTTCCCACGTTTCGTGTCCCCACAGGGAGCTCCACTCAAGGCCCCAATAGTGCCGTTCGCACGCGGCCCCGCCGCCCATTTCGGCACACCCCTGACACGCTTCGTGCCCCCATCAGGGAGCTCCACCCAACGTCCACGTGGTGCTGTTCGCATGCGTCCCCGCCGCCTATTTTGGCACACCCCTGACACTTCCAGTGGTCACACAGGGAGCTCCACCTAAGGCCCAAGTGGTGCCGTTCGCACGCGTCCCAGCCACATATTTCGGCACACCTCTCACACGCTTCGCGGCCCCATGGGGGGTCCCACTCAGGGCGCCAATGGTGCCGTTCGCATGCGTCCCCGCCACCCATTCGGGCACATCCCTCACACGCTTCGTGGCCACATGGGAGCCCCACCGAAGGCCCAAGCGGTGCCGCTTGCACGCGTCCCCCCCATAGGGACCTCCATCTGAGGCCCCAATGGTGCCGCCGCCCACGTCGGCACACCCCTCACACGCTTCGTGGCCCCCTATAGGGAGCTCCACCGAAGGCCCCCCAGTGGCCGCGTCCGCATGCGTCTCCGTGGCCCCCTGGGGAGGTCCACCGAGGGCCCCGGTCGCCACGGCCGCTCGCGCGCCTCCCGCCCAGCACAGCGCTTCGCGATCCCGTAAGGAGCTCCGCCGAAGACCCCTCCTCCTCCTCCTCCTCCTCCTCCGCCTCCTCCTCCTCCTCCTCCTCCTCCTCCTCCTCCTCCTCCTCCTCTTGCCTCCTCCTCCTCCTCCTCCTTCTCCTCCTCCTCCTCCTCCTCCGCCTCCTCCTCCTCCTAGGAGGAGGGGAGGGGAGCGAGCGACGCGTGTCCGCGGCCGCCTGCTCCTTCCCCACCCAGTACTGGACGCCTCGAACGCGCTTTGTGGTTCTATGGGGAGAGCTCCACCGCAAACGGTACCCAGAACTATTTTCAGGCCAGCGACGGTGGATCGCGCTCCCTCGGGCGATCCGATCCCAATGCGACTCCGCGGTTTTATCCAGCGAAGGGCTGCCTCCCCTTTTTCCCGTCCCGCCTCCCTCTTTCCCTTCTCCTTCTTCGGGCGCGAGCATCTCTTCCCTTTCAGGCCTCAACTTCTTTTCCCTCCTCCATCCATCCTTCTGTTATCCTTTTTCCCCGGCTTCTTTTCCCATTTCTCGTCGCTTTCCCTCCCTCCACTTCTGCCTTCCCTCCCTCCACTTCTGCCTTCCCATCCCCCCGTCAACCTCCTCCTCGTTTCCCTCCTCCTCCTCTTCCTAAACACTTGACATCCTCTGCCTCCTCTTCATCTTCCTCCTCCACGAAAGCCTGGACCAGAACCGACGCGTCTCCCTACCCCTCTCCCGAGGGAGGGAAATCTGCGCCACTGGGCCTACCCACCCGTAGGGGAAGCCCCCGACAGCACTGCTGTCAGAGGCTGAATTTAATGGGGGTGCCTGCCCAGCTGGCGGGCTACCTCTCTTCCTCGACGGTGTGAGGGGCGATGGGGCGTTCGAGGGACGGCTCGGCGGCCTCGCGCTCCCGCCTAGCGGCCCGCTTCCGAGCGTGCCTCCCTCCACCAGGGGCTACAACGCTCTGGGTGGCGCGCCTGCTGTCCTCGGGCAGCTCTGCGCCCCCCCCCCTGGCACAGCACGATTCAGCAGCCATCAGGGTCCGCTGTTCTGCTGGGGTTGTCTCGTGGGCGGTGCAGTCGCCCTGGGCCGCCGGAAGCCGGCCACTGCCGACGGCCCCCGTGGAGGGAGGCACTGCTGTCTCGGGAGGCTGGCCCCCCCTGTGCAGGGCGACTCGGCAGACATAACTGGCTGCTGCGTGGTGGACACGAGCTCCGCGAGCAAGGGACGGCCTGTGAAGGGTGTCTGGCCTCAGTGCTCCAGAGTGCAGTCACGCACGAAATCGCCCTGCGGCGGTTGGCAAAGCCAGCCGCCAGGAGTGGTCATTTTGACCCTTTCGGCTCCCGTTCTGGTTGCTGCGTGATGTGGCCAGTGCTGCCTTGCTTGCTGCGTGATCTCGCTGCCGGTCCTGTGGCACCTGACGGCCAGCGCTTGCACGCGGCCTCGCGGACTAGGCCGCAGCAGACGTATGGCCCCGCAGATAATCGTAGGTAGACGCGCCCAGCATGTCTGGTGCCCAGCGATGTACGAAGGACATGTAGAGTGGCACTGGCCTGTAGTACGTGGCCTCCGCCATCTCCTTACGACTGCCAGCCTGTCGTCCAACAATTACCTGACGGGGTCGATGTCGGAGGCGGCACCGGCTGTGGCGGAGGGGACGATGTCGGCAGTTTCTTTGCGCAGTGTTGGCTGGTGCCCCTAGTCCTTGTCAGATTTGTGGTTGGTGCTGGTACTGGTCAGGTTCTGCAGCGCTGCGTTGTGAGATGTGTGATTGGTGGTGGTACTGGTTGGGTTCTGCAGCGTTGCGCTGTTGGCGAGGAGGCTCTTGCGGCGGGCCTCTCGCGGGGCCGACCGGCGCCCCAGCGCGGCGATCTCTCGGGCGCGGAGATCGCTGAGCCGCCGCGCTTTCGAATGACCCTCCGTGCTCATCTCGGTACCCTGGCTCGGCTTCGCAGGCGCCTCGCCCCTGGGAAGCATTGCGCGGGCTCCTTGTTGGGGCGCCACCTCCATGTGGTCAGACTGGGCGCGGGCTCCAACCACATTGGAGAGGTAGCGCCTCTTCCTCCTCCTCCTCCTTCTCCTCCTCCGCCTCCTCCTCCTCCGCCTCCTCCTCCTTCTCCTCCTCCTTCTCCTCCTCCTCCTCCTCCCCTGTCCTCCTCCCCCGCCTCCGCCTCCTCCTCCTCCTCCTCCTCCTCCTCCTCCTCCTCCTCCTCCTCCTCCTCCCCCTCTTCCTCAACTTGACAGTGGCCCCGCCGCCGCGCGCCAGCGATGTAGATGTGGGATGAGTTTGATTCGAAAGAGACGGGCCACGGCGATGGGCTGGATGTGTCGTCGGCATCCGCGCTTTCTGAACTGCACGAACCGCCGACTTATGACGAGCGTTGCGCAGGCCAGTCTGCAACAGACGGCGAGTTTCAGTTGGGCCCACAGTGGGATTGATGGATTAAAGCTGCTGTGGGGAGGCGGAGGTGGACACTGTGGGCCGTCAGTCCATCAGGATGCACATGCACATGGAGCCCGCACAGTACATCGGGCCCAAGTTTCTGTGAGGGCAGTCGTGAACTTGAACAGGACGGCGCTTGCCAGCGTTCGGGGTTGGAGGCACCGAGGTCATCCACACGTGTTCTCGCTGGTCTTGCTTACCCCATTCCGCGTCACAGGTACATGGCGAGGTCAGTTCACGGCCATATCGCCGAATGAATGGCCATCGTTCTTTCGTGAATTCTTTGCATCCAGTTGTCGATTGCTTATGGTTTTATGGGAGTGGTAAGTCCTCCCGTCACTTTGGGTTGGTGCTAAGCCCGAAAAACACAAAATAATGATGCAAAGCACACCAAGGAGGTTAGGGGTGAACCGAGAACACCCTGTTTCGGCGTGGGCGTTTAGCCCGCTGGCTCTCGGGGACGCGCGGTGGCCAAGAGACCGCTGCGCCGTCTCAGTGATGGAGCGTCCCGCTTCGAGCAGCAGTGCCAGCATGCCTTTACAGCTAGCACAGGCCTAGTGGATCACTGTGCCCCCTCCGCTTGGGCCCCGTTCACGAACGGCCCTTTGTGCAGCGCATGATGGTCCCATGATAGTCCTCTTCCTCCTCCTCCTCCTCCTCCTCCTCCTCCTCCTCCCAATCCTCCTCCCTCCTCATCCCCCTCCCCCCTCCCCCTCCCTGCTCCGCAGGAGAACCCCCCCCCGCCCGAGGCGCTGCCCTCCGCCGCCGCGGCACTCGCGCGGCGGCCGCGGCTGCTGCTGTGGCTGCAAGGGATGCCGTTCCTGCATTCG